AACCAATGGGTTTTTGCTAGTATAAAGTATTCATAACGTTATGATCATACCGTACTGGATTTTGGGGTTCAAACAAATTCAGCGCATATGACGAATTTTAAATGAAATTTTCCTATGTGTTCCATAAATTCGTCGAAGAGAAATTTGACTGTATACATATATTTCAGTATCTAAAAACCATTTTTTTATTAAAAGCACAAATGTTGTTAAAACATGTAATCTTGAATTATTCTCATTTGATATTTTTTTCTGTCATAAAATTATTGATGACCATTTAAACGATTAAAAAATTCAAGTATTATATATAATTCATAGTTTATTATTGTTTACTTCTATTATTTTCAATAGTCCGCAGAATCGTGATTTTATAAAAAATAAAAATAATTTCAAGCTAAGTATAAATTCGGTTCATTCGGAGCTTTAAACGATGATAATAAAGACGATCCACATTATATTACTGAGTTATGTTTTTTCTTCTTTAGGCCTAAAGTTACCCAATACTCGCCATAGTAAAAGGATTGCAAACAAAAATAATTATTAGTTAATAATTTATAATTATTATGTAATTTTTATATATTATTATAATAATAAAAATTTTTCATTTTCATGTCCCGATTGATTATTTGTTAATATTAATATTAATAAATCATAATATTTTTGTCTCGATTAATAACAATAATTATTATTTCATTTTTTCATGTCCCAATTGATTATTTGTTAATAAATCATTTCACCTTGTACCTTGTGTTCCATAAAAAAGATCCTTTTTAAGAAAACATGAAAGGACGTGGGACACAATTAATGATACCTGACGAAATGTTTTTGTAGGCGGGAAATTATTTCGTCACATTTGGCGAAATGGTAAAAATGTGGTAAATTGACGAAATGTGACGAAAAGAAGAAAATGCGATGAAAAGGAGAAAATGTGACGAAAAGGAGATATTATAAAAATTTTTTTTTAAAATGTCATACGATAGTCAAGATGAATCAATTTATGAATTTTCTGATAATAATTATGATCCAAGAGATTTAGTAAAAGATACCTTTGTTGAAGATGAATTTGAAAGTGAACATAATTCAGAAAATAGTTATTTTCATGATTGTTGTGAAGTTAATGAAACTGATAGAAATATTATTTAGGACAAGAATGTTATGATATTGACATTAATAATAGTAATGAAATTCCGGAAATAATACGATGATAATAATTCTCAAAAACTAGTTAGAAAAAAAAGCAAGCCAGAAGAAACATAATTTACGCAGCTTATCCAAATTTGACTCGGACAAAAGAGTAAAAAATTAAAAAATCCATTAAATTTTCTCTTAAAATAATATTTTAAATGTAAAACAAGTTTAAATAAAATTATTATTGCAGATTATTACAAAAATTTTTTTTGTGAAAATGGTTATATTTTTCTCCCTCACTATCTTTTTTTTTTCGTCGAATTTTTCTTTTCGTCAACTTTTCCCTCTTTTTCCTTTTCGTCAATATGCTCTTTGCCGATCATTTCGTCAGATACAATAGATTTTGGTAATGTTAATGGAAACTCTGTTATCTATCGTTTGTGAAACTTGAAAAAAATAACTTGCTAAGAATTAATTCAATTAGAATATGAATTATCCACAACCTTCCGCTTTACCACCAGGTTATAATGAGTACAATGTTTACTACGATGAACCAGATAGTTATTTACCACCAGGTTATAATGAGTACAATGTTTATTACGAACCAGATAGTTATGATGATATTGATTATGATGGTGATATCATTATTAATGATGATGAATATCGAATATCCAGGTTTGTTGTTGATTATTACATATTATTGTTGCAAGAATTTTAAATAAATATAATATATATGTGCACATATACATAAAATGTAGAAAATTTAATTATGGAAGAAATCTTAATGTGTTCAAAGCATATAAAAAACCTATTGAATCAGAATACTATATTATAAAAGGATATGATGATATCATTTCATATAAAAGAGAAATAAATGCATTAATTTCATTGAAAGGGGCAAAGGTAATTTCTTAGTGTGTTGCTATGAACCAGACAAATATATGTATTTAAATTTTCTTTTTTTTTATTATAGAATATTATGCAAATTGTAGATTATGATTCACATAAGATTATGGTTGTTAGTGAGTGTGCATTATATGATTTAGAAACTTTTTTTGAACAGCAGGCACAGACTCAAAAACAAGCAGAAAAGGTGCCAATAATAAAAGTAAGTTGCTCATAAAAATCTAAAATTTAAAATTTATATTACATGCTATGTCTGACAAATAATACATCTTAAAATATTTTATAGGATATTGTAGCTGCATTATCTGAATGTCAACATAAAAATATAGGTAATTACTCACATATTAATATAAATATTTAATTGCTCATTTATTTATGTGATAAGCTAATTCTTATTTCTTGTAAATAAAATAGTTCATTTGGATTTATCACCAAAAAATATTATGTATTTTCATGATGAAAACTGGAAGTTAATAGATTTTGATTCTGCATGTATAGCAGATAAAACCTATGTGTCAAAAACCACAACAATAAAATATTGCAGTCCTGAATTAATACAAGCTGAGGAAGATGGAAGATGTATAAAAGCACAATTTTCCATGGATATGTTTTCATTTGGATTAATTTTATATTACATTGAAAATGGTTATTGGAATATTGCTGATCAAAAATGTCCTGACAAAAAAATACCAATAACTACTACTGAGGATCCTTATGCTGTTTATGTTATTGAGAATTTGTTGGAAAAAAATGTTAATAACAGGTATAAATCTACTTTGATATTTTATTGTTTTTATGATTCTTTATTTTATTTACATTATACATGCAGCCCAAAGTATTTTGATGTCGTAAAGGGGTGTTACACTTTATGTTTTTAATAGTGAGTGCCGTAATTAATTTCTACTATCTACCATCAAAATTGGAATAATTTTGACCATCAAAATCGCCAAACCAATTTGGGCCGCATGTATAATTTACATACACACAGTTAGTTAATCCTTTTTTTTTTCTATGAAATCATTTTAGAATGACATTGGCTCAATTTAAGGTAAGAATGAAATTTTATTTAAAAAACATTGCATTTTTAGTTTATTAAATGTTATAACTTTTATAAAAGGAAACAACATATTATGAAAAGTTATCAAAAAGCAACATTCAAGGCGATTTTAACCATGCCCAAAATAAAACCATTAGAGAAGAAAGCAAGTATTTTTTCTCAGTGCAAGAAGGCATGATAAATAATAAACATCAATAATAAATAATAATATTTTTCTATTCTTTGTTTCTTTAGGTAAAATGCAAATTGAAAAAGAGGCCAAAGAACTTAATCCAGATATAAAAGATGATGAATCAAAACAAACGAATTTTGATTCACAACAGGTAGAGTTTTAAATTATAATTAATATAAATATAAAAAATTGCATATGAATAATTATTATGTTGTTGTATATATAGGAACAATCTGTATTAAATCTTACTGAAACAATTCCACAAATGGTATTTATTATTTGCATTTTTTTTGTTCATTTGTTTATGGTCAATCATGTGATTATTAACATATGAGTTTTAATTAATAAAAATACAGAATGAGAAAACACCTCAATTTGTAATGGTACCTGAACGTCGTGAGTTTAAAAATCCATTGTAGGTAAAATTTACCAGATTTATCATTTAATAGAAGAACATCTTTCAAATAATTGTTTTATTTTGTAATTATTTTTTGCAGGACCTGGTACACAAATCCAATCAGAATATATTTTGTATGTGAACACAATAATAATTGGCATGTACCAGAACAAGAGGGCTATGTAATCAGAAAAATTCCTGAATTTATAAATGCTTCTGGAGAACGTGCTTTAGCAAGTAAGTAGATTCATAAAATTGACTCTTTCTAAACATACTTATTTTTATTATAACTAATTACAATTAAAATTATAATTATCTTTGTTTTTCACAGGTTTTATTAAAAGTAAACAAAAATCTGAAAATTTTGGAGGCTTAGTCCAATGCATAGATAAAAAAAATCGGAATGTCATATGGTTATGTGATAAGCATCGAAATGATAATGATTATACACTTAAAGATGAGCCACAATCTCTATGCTCTCCACATCCATCCGATCAAAATTCAACTCTTCCAACCCCTCAAACCTCTCATGAATTAATACATAACCCAACATATCCATTTGACAGTTATTATGGTCATGGAAATGATCAAATAGAAGTGTCATCTTCATTACTACCTATTTCTAAACCAAATTCTGGAAAGTCAATGGATATTTATAGTCTTGTTCCATTAATAATTTTGGTTAATGAAATCCTTTTAGATGTTCTTAATAATGCATTATCATCTGAAGGCATTTATTTTGGTACTGACAGAATTAAAAAAGAGGCACTAAATATGCGTGAAAATTTGAAGTATCTTGAGCAATTTTATCAAAATTGGCTTAACAGTCAACAAAAAAGGCTCTTAAATACCATACTAAGAAGGTATATTGTTGGTTATGTCTATTTTTTAACAGTGATTTATCGATATTGTTATGGTATGTAAAATTATTTAATTTAATTTATCATTTAACTTTCTGCTAAAAATTTTCTTTTATTTTTTAAAAATATATAAATAAGTAAAAGCAACAAACAAAAGTTTGAGTCTAGCATTTAATTCTCTTGGTGTTTTACCAGTTGTTAATAAGTATTTATATAATTGATTGCTAATTGAAATTTACTCTTTTGATTTTGATTTTAATTATATCTGATATGAATATATTATTTTTATGTTTTAGAATTATTAAAGCAACTAATGAATTGAATGAATTTTACAACTTGTCAATAAAATGTTTGGAAAATAATGATCAAAAGGGCATTGAACAAATTTTAAGCAAACTTGATTCAAGTTCCAAGATTTTAAATAAAATTTCTCAATCTAATAAACTCATGAAGATTACTGCTTTAAAAGAATGGTATATAATTCGTAGAACATCTATGATTTTTGATATTGATGGCAGAGAAAATGAATGTAATGAAGATAGGGAGAACAAGGATGGATATAAGAAAGTCTTTAATGATATTTTGGTGATAAAAAATAGAATGTTAAAAGGAAGCATTCTAGTTTTTGGAAAAGAATTAAATTCTAAATGTTTCAATGAAGAGCATAATATAGATTGCATAGAGAAGGAAATTTATATGTATAGTGAACAACATTTGAATGACTCAGATTTTATTTTAAAATTTCTAGGGTTCACTGTAGACAAATTCAAACCAATACTCCATTATGAATTTGCTGATTATGGAGATTTGTACAAGTATTTAAAAAACAACCAAAGTTTGCCTGAAAATGAAAAACTGACTTTGGATGCCAAACTAAGTTTGTCTTTAGATATATGTTTTGGGCTTGAATTTTTACATCAAGTAAGTTTACAAGTTATTTATTTTTTTGCACTTTTCTCACCACGTGAACATTCCTTTAATTCTCAACCTATTTCTTTTTTGTTAAGAGACGCATTCTGCATTTGGACTTGAGAAGTAGCAATATATATCTGTTTGAAAGTATATATGAGAATGAATTTCCAAAGCCAAAAATTTCCAATTTTTTATACAGTGTAGATACATTGAATAAGCACACAATTGTTAAACCATGTCTACCAAAAAGTATTGACAACCAAGTCAGGAAAAGATGGCATGAACCACAACGTTTAAAAAATGAAAAGTATAATTGTACATTCGAATCAGATTATTATAGTTTGGGAATGTTGCTTTGGGAAATATTTAATGCAACAGGAGCTTTGCCATATGAGAAAATAGAAATTGAGAATTTATATGAACATTTAAGATCTAAAAATGGGCTTGAAAGTTTGCCAAATAATTTACTAGAGCAGTTATATGAACATTTGAAAAATATGAAAAAAAATTGTCCAAAAAATTTCCATAAATCTTTGATAACTAAAATAACTAACTTGTGGGCGTATAATATTAGTGAACGGACAACTGTAACTGATATGGCTGCAACATTAAGAAAATTTAATAAGAAAAGGAGAACAATTTCCTCATCAACACAATGGGAAATGGAGAAGGGGGATTTACCATCTTGGATTGAGAAATTTAAACTTCAATATGGGTTAGTTATTGATGAAATAGGTGTAAAAAAAGGAACTATTCAGCCCATCCAACCATTTAGTTATTCAACAAATCCAAAAATTAATAAAGTTAATCCAGCTGATTCTATAAAATCCAGCTTGACAACCACAAATTCATTATTACATTCTTATCTTTTAAAAAGCGATATTAAAGTTGTTGATGATGAAATGATAAAGTTCTTTAACCAAGAAGTTCCTTTTATTAATTTGAAAGTAAAAGATTCATGGAATTTAAAATCTAAACAAAATATAGAGGATTCATGGGATTTAGGATTTAAAAAAACAACTCATTACGAGATTAGTAGTCAACAAATTGAACTGACTTTTGAAAATTTTGTACCATCAAATGAATTAATTAAAGCTGTATGTGAGGCTTTAGATACAGAAAATCCTTATCATGAACTTGAAATTATATTTAATGAATATGGTCATTTATTATGTAAAAAAATTATATTAGGTGGAAAATTATCAAGATCACAACATTTGGATTTAAATGGTAATTTCAAAGATCAGTGAATCATAATAATTATCATTATTATCAATTATTGATTTAAATTATTTTATTTTCAGAAAATCTATTTAAAGAAAGGATAATTGAAAAACCAATAGATCCATTAAGCATAAATAACAATGAACTTGATGAAATGTTAAAAGAATGGGATGAGATTCATAGGATAAATGGACACACAACAAAAATAAATTCATTAATTGGGTGGATAAACATAATGTTTAAAAAATCAGAAATTTGGGATGTAATTTATTATGCTGACCTAATTCCACTATATAAAATTTTAGAAGAATCATTACAAAAAGAAATTGAACTTCTTTTCAAAGATCAAATATTAATGATGGATTCAATTAAAATTAAAGATAAAAATATAAAATATTATAGGGTTGATTTTAAAACTTCTTTGAAAAGTGATAAATATCAAATTTATGGAACCATTTTTAATAAAGATTCTGAAAAATGTTCTAATATTATCATCAAATTTAAACATTTTGATCAATATGGATTTTCAATAATCATTGAAAGGTATCTAATACATATGATATTATCCTTATATTAACGGTTAAAAAATAATATTTTTTTATTTATTTTGATAGGTTTGATGAAAACCAAAATGATGTTCTTCATATTATATGGGCAATGGTTGGTTCTCCTATGGAAATAGGATTTTATAGCAAAAACACCAGAAATTTAGAAATGATGAATAGTGAAAAGGTAAATTTTCTCATTTTATAAAATATAGTAACATTTGAAATTGAACTTAATCTATCAACAGAATTATTACATTGCGGCCTTTAAATATACCATTATTTATTTATTTGTCATTAGAGTTCTGGAACTGATTTAGGCGATATCTTTAACATGTCTTCATTAAATAATATCTTTAGTAGAGTTTTTGGAGATTTGCCTGATGGTAAATTAAAAAATTATTGATTACTTATTATTGATAATTGTTTAAACATTATCATTATTAGATATATTAGATAAAAAAAAAATTGTTGAAATTACTGATGAAATTGAAATTGTAGAAGTAGAATATAAAGGTATTATTATAAATTTACTTTTACAACACAGAACAATTTTCATTAAACATCACCTAACTAAATAATTTGATTTTTTATTACTTTATAATAACCAGGGAGTAAGTATTATATTGTAAATTAATACAAAATAATTTTTATTAAAACATCATCTAATTAAATAATTTTATTTTTTATTTCTTTATAATAACCAGGGGGTAAGTGTCATATCATAAATTAACTTTTAAACACAAAATAAACTTTATTAAAACATCTTCTAATTGAAGAACTACAGGAAATTCCTTCACCACAATTATCCAAACCATCACCTCCAATTAGTCGAGATAGCAAAGAAACAAAGGATGAACCAAACAATGGAATAATTAATGAAAACAAAGCAATTATTGATAAGCCTAAGGATAATTGGGTAAAATGGCTCAATGAGGCAATTCAGAATGAACACATTAATTTTTATAAATATAGTAATTTTAAAAATACTCAAAAAATTGGTTCTGGTGGTTCTGGAAAGGTTTATAAAGCAATATATAACAATAGTAGTACTTTTGCCTTGAAATCCTATAAATGTGGTATAACAAATATGAAGGAAGTTATTAATGAGGTAATTATGATATATTTTGATTGTAGATTAAAAAAATTTTCGACTAATGATAATAATTGACTTAATTAGTTGAAATTATTACGTAAAGTTGACTACCATCAAAATATTATTCATTTCTATGGTGTCACTAAAAATGAAGGTATGTTTAAATTATTTCCTATTTTGTTTTTCTCCATTACTAATAATTATATTTATATATAAAGGCAAAGAGAAATATTTATTGGTCCTTGAGTATGCAGATGGTGGAACACTAAGAAGCTACCTACAAGAAAAGTTGGAATCGATCAGTTGGGATCTAAAACTGAAATTTGCATATGAGATTGCATCAGCTGTTTCATGTCTACATGAAAACAATATTATCCATCGAGATTTGGTAATTAAATCATTACACATTACATAAATTTATTACTTTAAAAAAAAATTATATTTAATAATGTTTGTCTTTTGAAAAGCATTCAAACAATTTCTTGGTTCACCAAAAAACCATAAAATTGGCAGATTTTGGACTTTCCCGTAAAATACTTGAATCTACAACTACTTCAGCATTCCAATTAGCAGGGGTGCTGCCTTATATTGACCCACAATGTTTCAAACATAAACAAGTATATAAACCAAACAAAAAATCAGATGTATACAGTGTGGGTGTTTTATTATGGGAATTGACTAGTGACCATCCACCTTTTAGTAATCTGGACCCACATTATCAAAAATATACTTTAATAATTGATATTTCTCAAGGAATTCGTGAGGAATCAATTCCCAATACACCTGATGAATATGTTAATTTATACAAAGGTAAAAAATCTATTTAAAACTATATATTTGTATACATTAAATTTTTCGTTAATCATTCACTTCCATCTAGCATGTTGGCAGGATGACCCAAAAAGCAGGCCTGATATTCAACGTGTTGAAACAACACTTATTGGAATGATTTCAGGCTCAAATGTAGTTGATAAAGAGGAAAATGATGAGCAACCAAAAAATGAAGACAGTAGTTCTATCAGTCATCCCAGTACTATTGATTCCTTGCAAGATTATTTTGATAATAAAGTCAAAAACTTTTAGAGTATATAGAACCCTGAAAACTACTATATACACTACCAATAATGTAATTGTAAATATATATTATTTGTGATATTATGTGGATTATATTCAAACTTTTATTTCTTATTTGTATTTGTATTATTACTTGAATCATTCGTTTTGTTCGTTTTATTTAAATAGAAACTCTAAGTTGAGTAGGCTCAAGTTAAAATTTGAATTTCTAAGCTCGAATTGAGTTCAAGAAAATCAGCTCTTAAGTTGTTTTTAGGTAATGTGCATA